CTAGTTCAAATATAAAAATAAGACGATGTGGTATGAATGCCAAATGAAATAGAAGTTAACAACTATAGGTCATTGAACGCCCTTCAACAATGAGCAAAACCCATACCACATAATCAGCTATAAAAGGACCCGAAATGACAAATGTAAAACAATTCGAACGAGATCAAAGTACAGATCTGAAAGTACTAGCAGTTACTGACAGCTAGTCCAAAGCCAATAACAACTAATAAAAAAATCATACATCTAAGACTAAAATATCAATCAGTACACATTATAACTGTTAGTACATAAAGTTTTCTTTAAAATCCCAGCACTATGTGTATTGGTAGGCATGTTTGTAAATGGTGAGCAACCAATAATTTTTGACAAAAATAATACTGTAATTCTAAAAGCAAATACTGCTTACAGAATACATACACATAATGATAATAATTGTATATGCACCAACAATAAGGATTCTTACAAAATATTCTTGAGTTACACAATTTATAGATATAAAAATAAACATCAAGGCAAAGGGAATAATTTTGGAATTGCAAATTGTACCTTCATATTGATATTCATTGAAATCCTAGTAAAAACAAATGTTTCTCAAAACTTATAATTTTGTCACAAAACTATGAATTTACCATTTAGCAATTAACATCAGAGTCATGGAAATATAGCATTTGTTTTATCCTTGCGAAAATAGATAGTTCTCAGAATTTGTGATTTTTTTTCACCCTCACAAAAACTAATTTCTTACCCCATACTTTATATCGTTAATAATTCTAGAATGGCATATTTTACCAAAATATCATTTTTTTGTTGAAATCCGTGCATAAACTGATGTTTCTCAAAAGTATGCTTTTATCAATTATTTTCATTTCTTTGTAAATTCGATCACATTAAAAGATAGTAATACCTTTCTGTAACTTTTTTGTCAAAATCCTGTTAAAAGAAGACGTTTCTCAAAATTGAATTTAACAAAATATAAGCTTTCATTTCATCTATCACCCAACTCAACAACAAATTTGATACCAGGTATAAAAAAGCATATTATATCTCCTTATTTTTTGTTGAAATGTTAACAAACAAGTAGTTTCTCATTTTTTTTTTTTATTTTTAACAAATCAAATCAAATCAAATCAAATCAAATATTTTATTGTCGTATAAACTTTACAGTTTGTGACCAACATGTATTAACACAATAAACATAATTATATACATACATATCAAACAAACACAATAAAAACAGCATCAAAATTTATAAAAACAAACAAGCTATTAAGAGTCCCCTGCCCTCAGTTCTAATGACTTTTTCAAGAAGGATCCTAACTTATTTGTTTGTAAAGGCGTTGATGGATTTAGTAAATAATGATTTTTTTCTTCTTCATTTAAATTATTAAAGTTATTATTTTCAGTACATATGTGTTCAAAAAAGGCATTTCTTAGTGTTTTATTATAATCACAATAGAGTAAAAAATGTTTCTCATCCTCTAGTATTTTACATTTATGACAAAGTCGTTCCCCTCTTGGGATTTTAAAATATCTCCCCTTTTCAATTAAGAGGGAGTGATCACTTAGTCTAAATTAAGTGATCAATCTCCTTATCTGAAAATTAGATATATTTAGATAAGATTCTAGTTTGCAATCCTTTTTAAGTTTTTTATATAGATAAAATTTACTTTTATCATCAATGTTTTCAAATTTAGTTTCAATTAAATCTTCATATCTATTTTTCATTTTTAACTTTATATCGTTTTTTATTTTATTTACATCTTTTATGTCCTTACAATTAGAAAACATATTAAGGTCAATATTAGTCTCTTCATCAATATTTTTTGCATATGTATACCATGAATAAATTCTAGTCAAATCTAGATACTGAGCTAAAGAAAAAGCTTCCTTTATCAATGGATTAATATTATTATTATATAGTCTAGCTAAATATAAAAGGGTTTGTGTTTTAATAAAACATTCTATAGGCAATCTTCCTAATTCAACTCTTGCTCCTAAATTGGATGCATTTTTTCTTATTCCTAGAGTAGATCTACAAAATTTAAGATGCATATTTTCAATAGGGGCTTTGTCTGTAAAATAAGTTGATTAATTTGTTTTCCTGAAGATAAGGCTCTGTTTTTGGCTCTATGAAAAGAAATATATGTATCCAAATATGTTACTTCTGAATTATAGGTCATAATTGGTTTTACTAAAGAATCAAAAAGGTTATTTGCTACTTTTATAGGTAGATTATTCAATGATTTAGTATAGGATTTTATTGCAAAAAATACTTTTTTTGCCTTTTTTGTCAGCTGTAAAGTACTTTGTGATAAATTTCAATTACATTTATCAACATTCCCAAAAATGAATATTCTGATACGCTCTCTATGGCTTCATTCTCATAGTAAATATGTGATGTTTCACCATTTTGTTTGAACTGACTGAAAATCATGGATTTTGTTTTGTTTGTATTTAAAGAGAGTTGCCATTTGTTGCAATATAATTTAACATTATTCAAATTGTTTTGAAGACCCTCTTTCGATTCTGACAGGATCAAAAGATCATCCTCAAATAGGAGGCATCTCACCTTACTATTTATAAGCTTAAGGAGACTTGAATTTTTAACAAAATTATGTTTTCACACCAATGTTTTTCCCCAATTTGAATAAAACATTTTTTACATAGGGAAACAATTTTGAATAGCGTAGTATTACTATAAATGTATAAATTTCTGTGATTTCCTAAACAAAACCTAAGATTTGACCAATTTCAATAAAAAGCAAACGATTTGTTTTTTTGTATTTGTTAGATGGTTTTCTGATTGTAACGATCTGATAAGTAAAGCCTTTTTCAGCTGATTTTTTTATAGTTTGTTCAGTTGTACTGTTACATCACTGTCCTAGGTTAGGGGGAGTGTTAGTGCCTTCAAATATGTTTAACCCCGAGGAGCCTGTAATTGAGTGGTTGTCAGCTATTGCTGTTTCTCATATTTGTTTTTGGTTTATAGTTTTTTTCAAGTTTGTTCTTGTATTGTGCCGTCACACCACTGTCCAAGGTAAGTGTGTGTGTGTGGGGGGGGGCCTTCAAACATGTTTAACCCCGCCACATTCTATATGTCGCTGTACCAAGTCAGTAGCCTTTAGTTCAGTGGTTGTCTTTTGTTTATATCTGTCATATTTTTTTTTCGTAAATTGTTTTGTTATTAATTAGGCCGTAAGTTTTCTCAATTGAATTGTTTCGTATATTTCATGTCTAGACTTTTGTAACCGACTATACGATATGGGTTTTTCTCATTGTTGAAGGCCCGGTACGGTTGCCTATTAATTGCTTGCATCCACTTCATTTGAACTTTAGTAGATAGTTGACTCATTGTCCATCATACCACATATCCTTATTTTTATATAAAAATCATCTGCAAAAAAAACTTCACTAATCAAAGTCGGCACAAAGCACAAACAAAAATGAAAGTACATTGAGTGTATACTCAACAGTACTGGAAGTATATTATATGAAAATAAGAAGATTGGTATGATTGCCAACAAGACAAAGCTCCACCAGAGACCAAATGATATAGAAGTTAACAACTATAGGTCGCCGTAGGGCCTTCAACAATGAGAAGAAAAAAACACTCCGCATAGTAAGCTATAAAAAGGCTCCTAACCTGCTGATGTGAAATTGTAGTGTCATATATATATATACTATTATATCGGATGCTGTACTTCACAGAATATTTTATACATTAGTTCAAGAAGACATTATCTTGTGCAATGCCAAGAATAAATGAATAAATATCAATAAAGGAGATGTAGGTCACAATGATACGACAATGAGACAGCAACCCAAAGACAAAAATAACCAAAAGACATCTAGAGGTCAAAATACAATCTTCAACACTAGAGAAATTTCTAGATACTGTATATTCAGCTCTTTGCGAAAATAAACCCATAAAGATATGAAATAATCACAACATCTGAACAACACCCATATCCCGTCCCCCTTTTCTTTTTTTTTTCGTGCTAAATAGTGTGCAGGTCTGTCCAAAGTTAAGTTGTTGTCATATAAACATCGTTAATGGGTCCAAGGTTTTTCATCTAAACCTACGACTCGAATAGGAGTAGTTTAAACAAGACTTATATATATAGTACTATATATTTTTTTTAAATGAGATAAATATATGAAAGGAAAAGTACAACAAAGATTTATCTTGCATACAAAGTGTACGTGTTTACACACAAAGTACATGTATGATATCGATTCAATATATGCCTTTGTTTTATATTCACAGTTGTAACTTATTTAATGTTAAGACGTTATATTATATGGGCGATCTTGTGGGAAAATAATAAGCCAGTTATTTCTTTGATTCTTAAAAAAAATAGAAAGAAAGAAAATCGACGTTTTAATGAATGTTAATAGTATATTGTGCGTCTTTTCGTGTACACTATGTCTGAAATGTATGTTTATAAAGATGAGAGAGGGTTATAGTTTCTTTTATCATTTACAAAGATTCCATAAGATGTCAAGGTGAACTATGGTATTGTGTCACATGTAGTGAATAATGAATTTACTTTGAAATATCAACCATATACCCGATTAAATTCCCACGTGGTCAAAGAAAGGGGACAGTAGAGCATCTTAGAGGTCCGTCTCTAATATGGCCAATACTCATATAATCGTTTCATTATATATTTTTTCTTGTTTTCCGTAATTACATGTAAACATTAGGTTTCTCTATCTAAGGACAATGAAAGATATAGTTCAATGTGAATAATCATGATTAGTCGATTTAGCTCTGCCGGGGGTGATGGACATTGTGATATAGTTGTGTATACACATACTTCTTATTAATTGTGTAACCTGATGTGTATCTTTGATATTCTACAATCAATAATAACTTATAATAATGATTATGATGATTTTTGTTAGACTATGTTTAAAATATCTTAGATAAAAGAAGGAAGAAAATTAAAAATCAACCCTAGATCGGACGAGTCCAAACAAACAAGTAATCCAGGCAGCCGAGAAAAGGTACGTATCTGATCATACAATGGCAGAATGAATACATTGGATATAAAAGTGATTTAATCAGCTAATTCTTGGTTATCCTCATATCAGGTACAGTCATTTGATAGACGAGATACTCATGTATCAAATTGCAACAATTTAGGTGAAATTGGTGGAAATTTTACATGTTTTGTTTGTCTCTGAAGTTGGCTCATATGCAGACTTTCCATCTTTCTTGTAAACTCGAACTTGTCGATAATATTTGTCAAACAATGATTATATGAGTCGCTCAACTACATATTTGATCGTTCTTGTAAATTATTTAAAGATTAAATAAAACAACATTAACAGAAATTCACAGTAATAACAAAAAATATACTTATTAAACGTTAATCGACAAACGTATTTCAAGGGTATTATATGTGTAAGGTTAAAATGAAAATATTAATAGAAATTATAATAATTAACCCTTAGAATGTATATCATTCATTAGAATATTGATTTTTGATGTTTAGTACAGTAAAAGAACACGTAAGTTTGTACCCTGAACGATTTGGGAAGCAAATATTGGAACTTGTGTTGACAAGGAAAATATACATTTTTCTCCAATATGGCGGCGTATGTATTTGACAAATACATCGTGTTACATCTATTTCATCAGAGCTTTGTATATGCAGCCAAATGATAGATTATATTAATGTAATTAACTAGTAACAGTATCAATCTTTATACTGAAGTAAAATTTATCTATGGGTACATGTATTTTACATGTTTGTTTGTGTTTACAAAGAGGCGTACTTAGAGGGTATTTATAGGTGTGGAACACAGTGTATCGTTTATCAAGCGATTTTATTTAAGTTCCGTTCACTTCGCACAGATAAAGGCTTATAAGGATATATATTTAGTTAAGGTTTTGTGGACGCTGAAATATACACCATAGAGTCTATTTCGTTACAAGATTTTTATATTCTATGAATTCTGAGTATGTAGTTATATTGTTCAAATGAAAACGTAATATAGTAACAGAAATGGAATTTTTGTCCCTTAGGTAATAAATAGTCATTAAAACACGTGGTACTGTATTACTCAAACTGAGATGAATAGAAAAAAGGAAAACAAAGTGAAGGACAGAGGAGGAAAGAATAACCATAATGGTTACAATTAAAATAAATGATCATGAAAATTTAAAGACAAATAAAGCACAAAGTGCAGAAGAATACTTATTCATTATTATTCTCTATATAGTAATACAGTTGGAGTGAATTGTGTGTTTTTTGATAATTACATTCATGTTTTTGACTGAGAAAACTTTAAAAAAAAAAGTAGATCTAGAAATATAAAAAGGGGGGGGGGGGGGAGTTGATTTCTGGAAAAGGGGGGGGGGTTACCTATTTTGTTTGCCAAATTTTAATTGAACGATAAAAATCTGAAGAAAGTGAGGGTTCCAAATCCAAGCTCCCCCTTTCAAACCACAAATCAAAGTGGTCATGACATGGTTTTGTCCTATTTTTTTTTTTATTTCAATGGTTGGGTGTGCTCCCTTCTAAAGGCCTTGTTCGATATTACGATATAGAATCATATGAAACATCTACATTTCCACTCTTATTGAAACATTTAAATCTACAAATTTAGTGAAAGGAAGGGAGTATTTTAGGGCCAGTTTTGATGGAAATTGAAAGCTAGATTTGGAGCAAATGTTTTGCATATGAAGCGCTTTTATTATTTTGTTTTTTACAGCAATAAAATGTACAAAAAAATGTATGCTCCTTTCTCGTGTGAAGAAGGTCATTTTAGTTAATAAGAAGGGAAAGGCTAAAGAAAATTGATAATGTTTGTTAAGAATTGCAAAGTTTTGGGCAAAATAAGTCAACAGGATGTTTTCCAACCACAAAAATATATAATGACTGTTTTGCAACTTGAGAGATAAGGACCCAACAACTTAACTTAAGTATACCAAACAAAGAAAAACATTAAGTATTATTCTTAACCAAAACAAAACAGGAACAAACAAAAAACACAAAACACAAATTAGAAACAAAACAAAACAATAAAAGAATGGCAGAACCTTAAAAGTAAATCAAATTTAAGAAAAAATTATATGTATATATTTTTTTTGCAGCGGTCATCTTTAGACTGAGAATTCGAAACAGATCGACGTATATAGAAATTCCTGAGTGCGAGTTACAGGCTATTTGTCATGCAGGTAGTTGTAAGATAATCATGACCTACATATACAGGCAACAATCAAGTACTTTTGTGTGGAGCATGGAGCAAAGTCATGCCAGGGCCTTTTATGGCTTGCTGTATGGTATTGGTTTTGTTCATTGTTGAAGGCTGTACTGTGATCTGAAGTTGCTTATGTTCCTCCTAACAGAATTTCCCAAAGGAACCTTTTTTTTATAAACAATGGATAATTTCTGTTCCAGTTGGAACAAATATTCTATACCCTTTATTCTGTTAGGAACAAATACTCTAATATTTGTTCCAGTGGAAATAATATTACAGAATATTTCTTCCACTTGGAACATTATGAAGAAATTTCTTTTGCATGACAGCTTCCAGCCACATCATTTTGACTATGGTGAATGGTTGTCTCATTGGCAAGCATACCACATCTCTTTATTTTTATAGTGGCTTTTGAATTGTTTGACTTCAAAAGTTATTGTTTTAATATGCGAATAATGTATTAGTTTTAGGAGGGGACACCTTTCTCTTTTTAAATGTTTAATAACCACAGATTAAAATATAAGATTCTTGAGATGATAAGTTGATTTTTAATTCATTGCTGTTGGTTTCCATTCATTTGCTGAGAAAGAATTTAGTGTTTTCAGGTGTTACAAACCAAAAAATTGATTGGAACAGCCTGACAGATCATTTTGTTTTTTTACAACGATGTATATGGAACTGATGAAAACTTATTGTTTAGAATTGTAAGTGTGGAATATTATCCAGATTTTTTAAGATCAATTTGATTTGTTTTTGTCTGAGTGTGTCGCCATTGTAGTTACTCTCATGCTGTGAACAAAGTACATGCATAATAGAGAAAGACGAACATACAATATCTGGTTCTCTACTGTCTAGTTCTAACTGAAACCTCACACATCTTGTGTAGGAATCTTTTACTTTGATAATTTTTTTTTTACATTTTATAAATTTCCACTTTTTCAGGTGGTAATTATTTTCTGAAACAAAATAAAAGTTTGAAGAAAAATGGAAACAAACACTAGTTATTGGTCAACTACATTATCAAAGACCTAAAATAAATGTATACCTTTGAAATATATTTTCATAGAATTAGCTCATCCTACTAATTTGTTAGAGAGTTTTAATTATGTAATTCTATGATGTTTATTTTGATTGCATGTCTGTAGGGTTTATTGTTGTTTGCTTAAAGTCCAGTGGCATGTTTGTAGGAGGAATTGACTTTTATTGAATAAAAAGAATGAAATGCAGTAAATGCAGTAATGTGTCAAGAATTTTGGTATTATTTTTGTTCTTATTTATCCACTCCTGTCCAAAAATAATGAATAAATTTATCATTCAAGTTCAATTTAGAACATATCTTTTAAAAATTAGATAATTAATTTCTACGAAAACAAATAGGAATTCTAGAACTCTGTTTTTACATTTTTAAAAGTGTATGGTGGAATAGGGTGCCCAATTAAACAAAGCTGAACTACCATAATTTTGTTAAAGTTTGCCAGAAAAAAAGAAAATCCCCCTGTAGGCAAGATACCTTATAAATAAGACAGTAAGACCATAAAAGCCATTGACCATTCCATCTTACGAGACAGTGAATATTTCGGTTGAATTTTACCAGGAGAGAAGGAAGAATGTTGGAAATACTAAGTTATGTTGTAATATCAATTCAATTCATTTTCTTAGTGAAAAGTACATTGAGTTATCTCCCTTTGAACACAGTTTGTGTCTTAAGTACATGTATTACAAGTATTATAAGAAAATAAAGTTATTTCAATACAACTATGTACTGATATTACATTTTACTTACTAGAATTAATAGAATTTTATAATTTATAAACCACATTTTCATTTTTTTGGTAAAGACTTCAAAAAGGTAAAACCAGAATTTTTATTTAAAAATTATGAAAAATCTATATTTGATGTTGCATATAAATATATACAAATATGGAGATGTGGTATGATTGCCAATGAGACAAATATGAATGCTGAGTCTTTGTTGACACTATTTAGCCAAAAAAAAGTTTTCACTTTTCACAATGGTAGGTTTTGGAACTTGAAACAAAAGATAATTTATAAATGCATGTAAAGACAGACAGCCAATGACCAAAATAACCAAACACCATCTAGAAAACAGCATACAGAGTTCAACAAAAAGCTGGTGCCAATACAATATTGACGATCTAAATCATCTGCAGTTCATTGATTTGTACTACATGTACTGTAACTTCAGAAACTATTGCGAGGTTTTTATTATTACAAATAATTAGAATCTCAATGATACAAACTCGCATTCTGGTATCTGATATATATGTCTTTATGCAGATTTTCCTGAAATCGCAATAATAAATCTTGCATTTTTGTCCATTCTTCAAAAATTGCAATAATAAATGCAAGCAATAATTTCTGAATTTACAGTATGTCATAGATTAACATTACTGGAAAAGAATGATAATTGGACTATTAATTTAGAAAATCAAATTGTTAGAACTATAGTAAACTTAATACATAGTTTACATACCAATTTACCATGGTTACTGTTTCAAAACATAATGCAAATTCCTTTGGCTTATTCTAAAAATTGTGAATACACGAATTCAGACTTATTTGTGAATAAGCAACTTGTGTTTCATCCACCAGGTGAGAGAAAAAGCTTCTCACAGTCTTAAGTGTTCTGAAATATAAAATGCATTTTAGAGGTGGAGAGGACATTTAATAGTAAATATATATATAAGACATGTAGTATTAAAGGGAAAAAAGGATCAGTTTGAGAAGGTTTGTTTGGTGTATTTATACAGATGTGATGGAATGGTAATAGCAGATTGTTTAGTGTTTTTGATATTCACTTCTTTGCACTCTTAAAATTTTACTTACTTATGAATGTTATATATGGTATTTTATGTTGACATGGTTGATAAATTAATCATGATCAAAATCTTTATCATTTTTACAACAGATGTCTTTTGTATATGAATTGTGGACTATCAAAAATCTATATGGAATTAACATGATTAAGAATAAACTAATAATGTTTTTTTTTAATTCAACATAAACACATTTAGTTTTATACACTTTTTGAACAATTTTATTGGTATTGGTCTATTTTGTTTATGAAAGCATTGTTTTGCCCTAAAAATAAATGAGAGGTAAATTTGACATTTATTTTTGGGGTCTGTGTCAGTAAAATTTTAGAAGATTGATTGATTTTTGGCTGCTTAATGTCCTACTGCATATGTTTATGCCTATTCAGTGCGTGAACAAGTAACAATACAATATGATGATTGAAGGGGAAAATATTTTCTGTCTGTGCATCAGTCCTGTATCAGGTTAGAGTTTTGGGTTAAGGTACATGTACATGTAGTTTACCATGAAGGTTACGGTCTCATAAACTTGAAACTAAGTATGCATGTTCATTATGATATGAACTATTTAAAATGTTTGCCAAATTAGGGTTTGGACCCTGATAACACACTGAATACAATGTGATAGTGATTAATGATTAAGGTTGAAGATTTTAGTTAGGGTAGTTTATCATGAAGTTTTGGTAACATCAACTTGAAACTTTGTATACATGTTCAATGTTCCATGAACTTTTATAATTATATGACAAATTACGATTTTGACCCTGATTTCACAGTTCACTGAACATGGACATAGGATAGTGAGAGTGGGGCATGTTGCCCTATGGACACATATTCTTGTTTCTTTGTATGTAGAAAATGTTTGATTCCTGCAGGTGTGTGAAGCAGGAGGTACATTTGTATATTATAATAGTTTGTTCTTTCATTTGTCCTTCTGTTCATCCATTCATGTTGTTCATTTTTTATTGGTATCTGCACTTCTCTTAAATCAGTGGCTCTTCCCGAAATTTTTCTGCACCTCCTATTTTTTAGCTCACCTGGCCCAAAAGGCCAAGTGAGCTTTTCTCATCACTTGGCCCCGTCTTCCGTCGTCGTCTTCCGTTAACTTTTACAAAAATCTTCTTCTCTGAAACTACTGGACCATTTTAAACAAACTTGGCCACAATCATCATTGGGTTGTCTAGTTTAAAAATGTGTTCGATGACCCTGCCTGCCAACCAAGCTGGCTTACATGGCTAAAAATAGAACATAGGGGTAAAATGCAAGTTTTGTCTATTATTTTGAAAACCGTTATAAATAGAGAAAATCTGACAAGGACAAAAAGGTTTAGAATATTGAGCTCTACCAATTGTTCGTTGATGTCAAAACTGTCAGGCAACTTCTTATAGGAGTTCTTGCCCTTTTACCATTTTTTTGTGATTTTGCCTTATATCTTAAAAACTATAATAGATAGATAGAAACTTAAATAAGCAAAAATGATCAACAAGACAAGATCTACATTTAAGACAATTTGCAGGAAATTTTCCGACAAGTCCTTGTAGGAGTTATTGCCCTTTAATGATGATTTATTCCAATTTTTTTGCATTTTGCCTTATATGATAAAAATTATAATAGATCAAAGGAAATTTTAAATAACAAAAATGATCAACAAGTCAAAATCCATAAACAATTCAAATTTTGCTGATATAGTTAGTAGACTGTCACTCTTCATAGGAGTGATTGCCCTTAAATTAGGATTTGTTTACCCTCTTTTGTGTTTTGAGAAAAAACTAAAGAAGATAGAGAGAAACTAAACAGACAAAATGATAAGCCATACAAGATCAACAAAAAAGAAATTTTTGTCATGAATTCTATTCTTGTCTACAATGTTGGAGAGAGTCCATTTTTGATAATGCACATAGACCTAGATGAGCGACACTGGCTCTGTAGAGCATCTAGTTGGGGTTTCCTGTAGCAAAATTTGGAACCTTGTCCAAAAGGTGTCATACCTTCATGTTTTTAAAAAATAATTCTTCCTAAACAAGTGACTAGATTTCAGAAATAATTATGGAATATTTCTTGCGTTATGCTTTTTTTTAACATCCTATTTTTTTTTAAATCAAAATGGCTTTTTGTGGTTACACATAAAACATAAATGCTATATCTA